CTAATTTGCTTACCGCTTTTTCCATGTGGTTTCTTCCTTCAGACTCCATGAAAGGATGACCTCTTCCTACAGTGCCTTCAGAAATTATTCACACCCCTTGACTTATTCCACATTTTGCTGTGTTAAAAAGTGGGATTAAAATGGAAATACTCTGTACTGTCAAAGTGGAACAAAAAGTTTAACATTTTAATAAAAAATTATGGAAAATAAAACACGAATATATCTTGATTAGATAAGTATTAAACCCCCTGAGTCAATACATGTTAAAATCACATTTGGCAGCGATTACAGCTGTGAGTCTTTCTGGGTAAGACTCTAAGAGCTTTGTACACCTGGAATATACAATATGCCCATTATTCTTTAAAGAATTGTGCAAGCTCTGTCAAGTTGGTTGTTGATCATTGCTAGACAGCCATTTTCAAATCTTGCCATAGATTTTCAAGCCGATTTAAGTCAAAACTGTAACTAGGCCACTCAGGAACATTCAGTGTCGTCTTGGTAAGCAACTCCAGTGTATATTTCCAGTGTATATATATCTTGTGTTTTAGGTAATTGTCCTGCTGAAAGGTGAATTTGTCTCCCACACTCTAAAAAGAAAAGGTTCCTGGAGTGTCCTTTAGGGGTTCTTCAAATTGAAACTGTGGGGGAATCCCTATAAATTCTTCGAATAACCTTTTAAAAGGGTTCTTCAAATAACCACTTTTCATGGATCCTCGAAGAACCTTTTGAAGAGCCTTTTGGGGTGAATTGTTGAACTACTTATTAATAACAATTGCACAATATTTTAGTTGTCAGTGTTTATTATGATTTTAGTGGCAAAGCAGAATAAAACATCAAAATATGAGGTAAAATCCCAGCAGAGACCCAAGTCCAATGGGTATATCCTCTGGCGTGTTGATGTTGATGTTCTCCGTATCCATAGCCAGAATGATTTTGCAGTGCGTGGGGATCGAACTGGTTTCTGTGAATCCCAAAAAATAGTAATTATACAGATGATTAACAAAACATGCACACGACAGTATTCATACCTTGGTTTTTGTGGTACATGTGAATGTTTTTCATACACATACCTTGTCCATAATGTAGAGGCCTATGGGATATTCATTGAAGAGGTAAGGGAGGAGGATGGTAAATAACATACCAATACCAATTGGCATACCTTTGTATGCCTCCTCATCTGTATACCTGCAGACACAGACACAAAAGTGAGCAGTTCAGTCATCTGCACCAAATACAGATAGCCTTCAACATATTCTTATAGCCTACATATTATTACCTCTTTGTTGATTGATATCCATTGAATTGTGTCCATTTTCTGTTTTAGAAAGATTTGCACAAATATAAAAAGATAGATGGTATCATCATCAAACAATATCAATTTAGATCATACAAGGGACAAACCTTACCTTAATTTGAGGAGATCTCTAAATATTTCAGTTAAGTTCCTGCACGTGCTGTCCTTTCAAATTCTAATCCAAATGTTTCAGTTGGGAAGTTAGGTTCCTGCAAGAACCCCCACCAACTAAGGAGGTTCCTTGATTAACCCCACCTCCTATGGGGTTCTTGGAAGAACCTTTTCGGGGCAATTTTCAGTGCCAAGAACCCTAGGTTCTTTGAAGAACTTTAAGGATCTTAGAAGAACCCTTGTGGAACCCCTAATTTTTAGAGTGCAGTGTGTAACACTCTGGCTCCGGGACTTTTGGATTTGAGCCAGGGTGTATTTGTTTTGTTGGGTATTTGTTGTGGGGTTGGTTGTAAGGGTGTATTCGGTTGGTTGTGTTTTGGGTGTGTTAATTGTGGTGTCGTGTGTCTCCCAATCGGAGGTAACGAGTGTCAGCTGTCGGCTCGTTATCTCTGATTGGGAGCCATATTTAATCTGAATGTTTTCCTGTGGGCATTGTGGGTTTTTGTTCCTGTACAGTATTTGTAACTGTGGACTTCACTAGTCGTCTTGGTTTATTGTTTTTGTCGTTCGTGTACTTTTCTCTAATAAAGTCATGTTCGTTCAACGCGCTGCGTTTTGGTCTCCTTCGCTCATTGACGACCGTGACAGAAAAACCCACCATAAAAGGACCAAGCAGCGTGTCCAGGAGCAGGCAGCCTGGACATGGGAGCAGATCTTGGACGGGCAGGGGTCCTGGACCTGGGAGGAAATCCTGGCCGGGATGGATCGCCGGCCATGGAGTGAGACGGTGGAGGCGCGCCGTAGAGAGGAGCTACGGCGGGATCAGGGTCGTCGTCGGAGGGTCGTGAGTCAACCCCAGAAAATTTTTAGGGGGGGGCACACGGCATGGACGACGGGGCTGACGGAGGAGAAAAGGGGGAGTATCCAGGAGGCCACCAGGCCAGGGGTACACCGCCCTGTACGTCCTGTGCTGATGCCTCACACAGAGTGTGTGAGGGTAGGCATTCAGCCAGGACGGGTGGTGGCCGCTGTTCACTCCAGGCCTCCTGTCCGTCTCCACAGCCCGGTCCGGCCTGTTCCTGCCACCCGCACCAAGACTACGGTGCGCGTCGCCAGCCCGACCCGGCCTGTTCCTGCCACCCGCACCAAGACTACGGTGCGCGTCGCCAGCCCGACCCGGCCTGTTCCTGCCACCCGCACCAAGTCTACGGTGCGCGTCGCCAGCCCGGTCCGGCCTGTTCCTGCCACCCGCACCAAGACTACGGTGCGCGTCGCCAGCCCGACCCGGCCTGTTCCTGCCACCCGCACCAAGACTACGGTGCGCGTCGCCAGCCCGGTCCGGCCTGTTCCGGCCACCCGCACCAAGTCTACGGTGCGCCTCAGACGGCCAGAGTCTGCCGTCTGCCCAACGGGGCCTGAACTGCCCGTCTGCCCAAAGCCTGCAAAGCCGCCCGTCTGCCATGAGCCATCAGAGCCGTCCGCCAGACCAGAGCCGCTAGAGCCTTCCGCCAGACAGGATCAGCCAGAGCCTTCCGCCAGACAGGATCAGCCAGAGCCTTCTGCCAGACAGGATCAGCCAGAGCCTTCTGCCAGACAGGATCAGCCAGAGCCTTCCGCCAGACAGGATCAGCCAGAGCCTTCCGCCAGCCATGAGCAGCCAGATCCGTCGGCCAGCCATGAGCAGCCAGATCCGTCGGCCAGCCATGAGCAGCCAGATCCGTCGGCCAGCCATGAGCAGCCAGATCCGTCAGCCAGCCATGAGCAGCCAGATCCTTCAGCCTGCCATGAGCCGTCCAGCCAGGTGCTGTCCCTTAGCCCGGTGCTGCCCCTAAATCCAGGTGGAGTAAGTTGGAGGGTGGTCATGTGGAGGAGGCTAGGGAAGCGGGTGGTGACTAAGGTGGGGTGGGGACCACGACCAGGGCCAGAACCGCCACCGTGGACAGACGCCCACCCAGACCCTCCCCGAGACTGTATGCTGGTGCGCCCGGAGTGCGCACCTTTAGGGGGGGGTACTGTAACACTCTGGCTCCGGGACTTTTGGATTTGAGCCAGGGTGTATTTGTTTTGTTGGGTATTTGTTGTGGGGTTGGTTGTAAGGGTGTATTCGGTTGGTTGTGTTTTGGGTGTGTTAATTGTGGTGTCGTGTGACTCCCAATCGGAGGTAACGAGTGTCAGCTGTCGGCTCGTTATCTCTGATTGGGAGCCATATTTAATCTGAATGTTTTCCTGTGGGCATTGTGGGTTTTTGTTCCTGTACAGTATTTGTAACTGTGGACTTCACTAGTCGTCTTGGTTTATTGTTTTTGTCGTTCGTGTACTTTTCTCTAATAAAGTCATGTTCGTTCAACGCGCTGCGTTTTGGTCTCCTTCGCTCATTGACGACCGTGACACAGTGTCTGTTTGAAAGCAGACTGAACCAAGTTTTCCTCTAGGATTTTGCCTATGCTTAGCTCTATTCCATTTATTTGTATCCTAAAAAAACTCTGTAGTCCTTGCCGATGACAAGCATACCCATAACATGATGCAGCCACCACCATGCTTGAAAATCTGAAGAGTGGTACTCTGTGATGTGTTGTGTTGGATTTGCCCCAAACAGAACGCTTTGTTTTCAGGACAAAAAGTTAATTTCTTTGCCACGTTTTTTGCAATATTACTTTAGTGCCTTATTGCAAACAGGATGCATGTTTTGGAATATTTGTATTATGTACAGGCTTCCTTCTTTTCACTCTGTAATTTATATTAGTATTGTGGAGTAACTCAGTTTTCTCCTATCACAGCCATTAAACTCTGTTACTATTTTAAAATCACCATTGGCCTCATGGTTTCCTTTCTCTCTGGCAACTGAAGGGTGCCTGTATCTTTGTAGTGATGGGGTGTATTGATACCCCATCCAAAGTGTAATTAATAACTTCACCATGCTCAAAGGGATATTCAATGTTTTTAATTTACATTTTTAACAATCTACCAGTAGGTGCCCTTCTTTGCGAACCATTGGGAAACATCCCTGGTCTTTGTGGTTGAATCTGTGGTTGAAATTCACTGCTCGACTGAGGGACCTTACAGATAATTGTATGTGTGGGGTAAAGTGATGGGGTAGTCATTAAAAAAATTATGTTAAACACTACTATTGCATACAGAGTGAGTCCATGCAACTTATTATGTGACTTGTTAAGCAAATGTTTACTCCTAAACTTATTTATGATTGCCATAACAAAAGGGATGATTACTTATTGATTCAAGACATTTCAGCTTTTCATTTGTAATTTATTTGTAAATGTTGGTTCCTGCATTTGACTGATGAGGCTTCTTCTCTCAAAGCTGAGACCTTGAAACTGAGATACTCCTTTTGGATCCCAGAACAATGTTCTGGTCGTACTGCCAATTGCTCTGAGAAGGAGGTCACAGTCACCTACACGTACCATTTCTAAAAACATAGTTCCACTTTGACATTATGGGGTATTGTGTGTAGATCAGTGACACAAAATCTCAATTGAATCTAATTTAAATTCAGGCTGTAACACAACAAAACGTGGAAAAAGTCAAGGGGTGTAAATACTTTCTGAAGGCAATGTAAATATTTGGTCACATTATTCATTTTGTGTATGGTTTCCTAGAAACATGGGGTGGTTCCACTAACCCTTTGGCACAACTTACCCCACTCTGCCTACTAACCATAACTAAACACAGGTCACTGCTTTCAAATCAACCAGAAGTCATTCACCTTTGCATATCTTTAATGGATACAAAGTACACAGTTGTATGACAGGGAAATCAATAGTCTATTCAAAAGTGTAAAAAGAAGGAAAAAGAAATACAAACACTATGTTCAGTATGTATATTGAGAGAATATATAATTGGACCTGGAAAACGTGTAATTTTAGTAAATCTGCATTAGCAAGTTGCTTTTAGTTCAATATTGAGTGCTCTGTAAATTGCAGTTACCTGTAGTTGACTCAATAAAATACACAGTACAAAAAATATATGATTTAGTAAGGATATCATGTAGTCTATGCCTCTCTGTCCAGTGAATCTCAACAATAACAGCTGTTTCCTGCTTCTTCCAGCCAGCCATTGTTTGTAGACACCATGTGGTGCTCTATGTTTTGATCAGAGTGAGGGGAAGTGGTCAGTGAGAGGAGGTGGTCACCGCGGCAGGGCTCGGACCAGGAACTCTGCTGGGGAGTGAGTGAACCCCAGGACCCCCTCCAAACTGGGCATGGCTCCAGGGACTGGAGACAAGGAGAAACACTGAAGCAAGGAGGAGAAGAACAGGAACAGCTCCATACGAGCCAGATGCTCCCCCACACACGCACGCTTACCTGAAGAGACACACACACATTTAATCTGAGGAGACACACACGCTTACATGAGGGAGATATGTGACTGACTGGGATTGAATCCGGATCATTTGTTAAAAGCTCAGGGGCGGCAGATATCCTAGTGGTTGAAGATGCAAGCCAGCAACCGAAGGGTTCAACTGAACAAAATCTGTTAGGAAGTGAGCTGGCAAAAGGAGAGTTGCTGGTATCAAATCCTAGATGATATTGCCTACTCTTGTGCCCTTGAGCAATGCACTTAACCCCCCAAAACAACTGCTCCCTGGGCACCCAGTGTGGCAGCCCCCCGCACCTCTCCAAAAACCTGTATACGTGTGTCTTTCAGACGGGTTGGGTTAAAAGCGTATGTCAAATTTCAGTTGGACCTTCTGTGCAATTGACCAATAAAGGGATCTTAATGTTAAGTTTTCGGTCACAGGCAAGGTTACTCATCACACAAGTTTATAATGAAAACATGAAAACACAACCAACAGAGATCATAACCTGAGCAACAAATAATACATGTTGGATGGATAGTCTGTTGGATCACCTGCTGAGAAAGGCAGGAAGGCGTCTCTCCTTCTGAACTGTCCGTCAGAATCCAAGAAGTGCTCTGGGTTGAAAGTGTATGGAGTTTCCCACTCGTCTTTGTCAAACAGCACCGAAGACAGGCTGGTGTTGATGGCCGTCCCCTGAATAGCACAGAGAAACTGTAACTCACAGACTGCCCACCTGCTCAACAATGTGCAGAGCAGGACTATAGCCTATAACCATATGGCTGCTACAACTGATTAAGTTGGTAGATGAATGACTAACTGTACAAATCATCCATGGATTTTGGTAGCTATTGTTTTTATTCTGCTAGCCTTGAGAGCTGAATGTCACAAAAGTTCAGGGACAACAAGTATCATTCACTTGATACATGGAGGGACTCAGGAGTGTTGTTAATGCTGTATCTAATTTTTCTTACCTTGGGTATGAAATATCCCCCCAGTATTGTGTCTTTGTTGGCCATCTTGGGGAAACCCAGCGGCAAAACGTTTCCTATCCTCTGTGTCTCATGGATGACAGCGTCAGTGAAGGGCATGTTGGGTCTGTCAGACATGTTGGGCTGGCGGGACTGTCCTATCACTCTGTCTATCTCAGCCTGGACCTTCTCTGGAGGGATGAAGGAGATGGGATCAATCAATCAATAGATCAATCAATCAATAGAGCAACCAATCAATATATCAATCAATCAATATATCAATCGATCAATCAATCACAGGGGTGCTGTAGAAGAGTCGACTCACCCTGTATCTCTGGGTAGTTCATCATGTAGACCAGGGCCCAGCGTAAGGTGGTGGCAGCGGACTCCATGCCAGCCTCGATCAGGTCCAGAGTACACACCACCAGAGTGTCTGTGTTAAAGCCAGCTTTAGGGTCCTCCTTCCTCTGAGGACGTTAAAGGAGAAGGTGGATTGGAATGTGGCAAAAGAAAAGAAAACATGACTGGACATGAAATGTCTGTCTGGTGGAGGTGGTTCGCTACATTCACATGATGTGTGTTTTTGACCTTTGTCCTAGTGTTGGCTACTGTTCTGGTACCATACCTTCTCAATCTCTGTGAGGTACGTGTCTATGTAGTCCCGGGGGTCCTCTGGGTCCCAGTCCTCCTGGTGCTTCTCTATCTCTGCCTGCAGGAAGTCTGTGATCTGGTGGTAGTTGGAGTGGATGGTCTGGTGGGGACCAGGCAGGTACTTCAGGATGTGTGGGAAGGCATCATACAGCTGGGACAGGGAGGGACACAGTTACACACACAGATCAGACTACAGGAGAACAGTTATGTTGATTTTCCTGTTTATATGTGCACAATAGTTTTTATGATAAAAGGATAGGATTTTTCAGGTAATTCACCAAAATAGTTTTGTGATGGACAAGGACATGAGCTATGACCACTGAGAGCTAGGCTCTAGGTTAAACATCTCATCTGAAGGAGTTAAGACCAGTAACCAGCCAACAACTTGACACCAACCTGAGCCCGAGCAGAGCCGGATAGTATCACAGCCTCGTTGTCCAAGCGTAGGAGCTTCTGGAAGTTTTCATCGCTGTACTCGAAGCGATGGCCGAACACCACAAAAGAGATAATGTTCCCCACCGCGTTGTTCAGAATGTAATGGGGGTTGAACCCTCCTCCTGACAGTAACATAGACATCATACTGGCTATGCAAAGCTTCCAGTCTGGATTCTCTCGTCAACTGTTGTCCTGCATGTGTCTTTATTATTGTATTATTAGAAAGTGAAGTATAAGCGGACCAAAGGCACATGAAGGTTACACTTATTCTATAGGGGACACAGTTTACATTATATATTGATAGAGTGTGCAAGTATCAAGTGTGTTCTCACAACGTTACGACAGGAATGTGTACAGTACATGTCTTGTGGTTATGTCTACAGTGCAGTGTTGTTATTTCTATAAAATAAAAAGCAGTAATCCTAACCCTAAAAGTACTGTATATATACCCTGCTCTTCTCTGAAGGCCTCACACAGGAAGTTGCTCTCCAGCTGGATGTAGTGCTCCAGTCCCTTCTTCCCTTCTCCGAAGTATCGCAGGTGGGTGTGGGCAAACTTTCTCTGGGTCTTCCACATGTGACCGTTGCTTAGAGCGATACCTGAGGCAAGAGGAGAGGTAGAGATTAAGAATCAGGTATTGGGTGGATCTCAATAGTCTAAAATGGTCTTCCTCTCCTTGTCTCCTTTCCCCCATCTGCAGTGATAGGTGCATTTGGCAGGTGGAACATTAATTCCTGGTATGCATCCTTTTTCAGCTATTTCAGATGAAGGAGGGGAAGCGAAGTAGACAAGCTTCTTTAGATTATTGACAATATATACATAATGCAGAATTTTTATATCGAACATGTTTACCCTCTCCAAAAAAGACACAGGAGTGCTTTCTAGTGCCCACATTATTTCTCACTGGAGCCCGGCCTGGTCAGAAGTGGTGCACTATATAGGGCATAGAGTGCCATTTGGGCCCTAGCCACGGACTCACCAAGGCCTTTGAAGGTGACATGAAACAGAGGGATGATGGGCCGGTCAAAGAAACTGTCCAGTTGGTTGACCAAAGCTTCCTTCACCATCTTATACCCTGAGATAAACACTACCCTGTCACTGCCTCGACGCAGGCTGAACACTGGACCATAGTCCTCAGCCATCTGCAGGGAAGGAAGGAATGGTGGTGACACATTTATTACATTTTTATAAAATATTTAACCTTTATTTAGAGAATCCCAATTGAGACCACAGTTTATTTTTCAATGGTGACCTGTATAAAACACGCCACATGCAAGTCAAATCTGTGTCAAGGATTTCACTGAACTAGTAAAGAAATAGTAATAGTAACAGAAGTCATTAGTAATAAAATATTACTGATTAACATTAGCAATGATTATATGAGTGTTTATCTGACCTTGTCAATGGTCTTGAAGTCGAGCCCTGTGAAGACATTTCCCAGGAAAGGTACAGACCAGGGTCCAGGGGGGAAGTTAGGTGGAGTTCTGTTTCTGACAATGTCCACCACCAAGAGAAACACGAAGATAAACACCAGCCAGCCCTTCACATCGAAACAGTCCAATACCGCCTGCAGAACCATGGTGAGAACATCTGTTTTTGCAGACCCTAAGACAGGTTGAACACTCTCTGTGATACTCTCTCTCTCTCTCTCTCTCTCTCTCTCTCTCTCTCTCTCTCTCTCTCTCTCTCTCTCTCTCTCTCTCTCTTTCTCTCTCTCTGAAGCCCTCCTCTTTCTGTTTCTCTTACTTTTAGCAGCCTCTCCACTGCCAAGCCTATCGTTAGCAGTGGTTACTATAAGAGGATGAAAACGAGGCTGCTCGACCATTAACTTGTGGTCTCAGGAGGAGAGTTGTTATGTAATGGGGGCCTTTCAGAGTTTCTGAGAAAAACAAAGGAATTCCAGACATGCAGGAGAGGGAGCATGAACTTCCTCCCTAACATGCACTTTTGTTAACTTTTTCAGAAGCTTTAAAACTAGCAGTGATCATGTTAGAAGTAGGCTTTCTACAGAATAAACCAACAGACCACTTTAACAACAATAACATTCTCAGTAACAGTCGCATATTTTTTGTTGTTGTTGCTATTACTGTGGTATGTTGGTGTTTATCTACCTTAGTTTAATGCACTGAGTGTAAGTTGCTCTGAATAAGAGTGTCTGCTGAGGGCCTCCCGAGTGGCGCAGTGGTCTAAGGCACTGCATCGCAACAGACCCGGGTTCGATCCTGGGCTGTATCACAACCGTCCGGGTTAAGCGGGCGGGTGTTAAGAAGCGCGGTTTGGCGGGTCATATTTTGGAGAACGCATGACTCGACCTTCGCCTTCCGAGCCCGTTGGGGAGTTGCATCGATGAGACAAGATAAAAAAAGGTGGTAAAAAATTTAAAAAACACAAACAAATTAGTGTCTGCTGCATGAACAAAATGTAAATGTAAAAACAAACACTTGCAAAGCATGCTGGGTATTATTCTAATGAGCTCCTTCCCCAAACAAGTACACATTTGGTCGGTGTGGACCAGATCCAAATCTGAACGAATCATAGACATCTAGACTATGTTGCACAAGTTTGAACATCACATTTACTTTACTTTAATGTACTCTACTGCATTGCACTGTAAAGTACTATACTCTACTTTTCTTTACTGTACTGTGTACTGTATTATAATGTACTGTACTCTGCTGTCCAAACTTGTGAAACATAGATGTCTATGTTTGGGCCAAATCAAGGCCGGACCGGACCAAATCTAAACCAATTATAGACGCCTATGTTCACTTTCGGTCAAATATATGCCGTTCCGGACATCTGTGGATGTTGAAATCAAGACTGGGAACAAATAAATGCCGGTCCGGACCGGACCAAATCTGAACCAAACATAGACATCTATGATTGCTTCAGATTCTGTCCAGCCCGGACCAAAAATCTACATCCTTGGACATTGAAATTAAGACCGGTCTGGACTGCACCCCAAAAAAAAATACAATGGTTAATGCATAGTGGGATGGTTTATGCACGTTAGTAGGCGCCAATGGCGTTGAATGCATTGGTGAGAGCGGGGCTAAATGTAACACTGTAGACCAACATTATATTCACAGAGTATCCTTGGTTGGCTGAGTACCAGTAGAATGTTTTTTGGAGACATTCAAGTCATCAGTATGTTGCTATAACTAGCCTAATGTTTAGACTTTAGAGTTTGTGATCTAGCTAATGATTAGCCCAATGGGGGTAAATTCAGAAATGGCAACCCTTAGACTATTTATTTATAGCCACTATGATGCATCAGGTGGGTTACATCAGGTGATAATGCTTATTGCTAAGTACCACACCTGCCTGATAATATGGACCATTTTATTTTCATTCATTTTGGAGTAGAATTTCCTTTTAGAAAGTCACCAGAACAGTCATTCTCCCCAAGAAAATTGTAGGTCCCTCCGCGACCTGTAGTATACAGTTATATGTGCTTTTGTCAGTATATATTTAGGTTATGCCCCTGAACTTGCCCCTGAACTAGGGATCCCCACCTCCCAAATCCCAATTTAACCACTGCTTACTGACCATAACTAATGACAGGTCACTGCTTTCAAATCAACCATTAATCATTCACTTTTGCATATGGATACAAAGTACACGGTGGTATGACAGGGAAATCAATACTCTGACCAAGGGTGTAAAAAGCAGGGAAACACTGTATGTGTACAGTACATATATTGAGATAATCCATAATTGGACTGGAAAACCTTTAGTAAATCTGTAGTAGTAAGTGGTTTACCCAACCTCCCACCTCTGTCTGTATAAATGTCCTCTGAGTCATGTGCTCTTTTCTTAATTTGAAATGAAAGCTAGACAGCAGTATATTTTGGTTAATTATGAAATGAATGACTCATGCATCACATGATTACCTCTTCACCCCTTCTTGTCATTAGGTTAAACTGTATGGAGCGATTTCAGTGCCAACAGAAATTGTATTTGAATTCCATAATTTTGAATTTGTATTAAGATATTGAATTTGAATTTAATATTTTTGTATTTGTAATGCACACATTTTATCATTGAATTTACAAATTGAACTTATATTTCATGTACTGAAACTGAATCAAATTATTATTGCATTCAGTTAAACATTTAAATTTCGATTTTATTCAATATTCAAATTCAATATTTATATATTTAGTTTCGATATGTTAAACATTGCATTCATTTTCTGCATTTAACTTCTCAGATGCATTTAGATTCAGTTTTCAAATTCAGTTATCTCAATTCAGATAAAAATCCTAAAAACTACATCCTGGTACTTTGCCAGCTAGGAAAGGTAGAGGAGAACAGATAGAATCAAATGCTGTCTGTGGTAAACAGAAGCTAGCGTTACCAATGGTTTCTGAAGCCAATGTGGCATGTTGAATTTATTTTCTTCCTATGAATATGGCTCTAAGATTGTAGATCCAAGTTCAGCAGCACCATTGTAAAGGACATTAGTGAGTAATGCTTCCGCCTGATTCAACTCATACCGAGACTCAAACTCAGGACCTCTGGCTTGCAAACATGTGACCTCCTTCCTGAAGCGTTCCAACCCATCGCGCTATTGAAAAATACCTTTTTCAATAACGCAAGGGGCAACACTTCAGGCTGAGGAGTGAGTTTAACAGATTCCCATCGACTACACTAGGGGTAGGCAACTAGCTGAATTCCTGGTTATTTATTTATTTTTGACCAGAAACTAAACTCAAAACTTTGGGGAGCCCCAAATAATTACTTGCAGACCGGTTTTAACCGCAGGCCACCTGTTGCCTACCCCTGTGCTACACTAACACAAGACTTCAAGATCCAGCAACGTTACTTATCAAGAGAGCATGGTTTGGTGATCTAGTTGACATGTGTTAGTTTGTTAGATATGTTAGTTTCAAGTCTCCGGCAAGGGTACTCATTATAAGGGTAACGTGACTGACTGGGTTAAGACTGTGTTAGCCTGCTAAGCTAAAGTGACTTTGATGGGTCTCTTCGAGGAGGTCAAAGGGGGGGATGTGTAACACAGGTAGTTCAGTTACCGCGCTTGCGAAAGGAGTAGTCCGTGTGGACCTCTGTAGCTCAGTTGGTAGAGCATGATGCTTGCAACATTTACATTTTAGTCATTTAGCAGACGCTCTTATCCAGAGCGACTTACAGTTAGTGAGTGCAAACATGAATTTAAATTTTTTCATACTGGCCCCCCCGTGGGAATCGAACCCACAACCCTGGTGTTGCAAACACCGTGCTCTACCAACTGAGCTACATCCCTGCAGGCCATTCCCTCCCCTACCCTGGACAAATTATTGTTATTATTATATGTAAATAGTTTATGATTAGTGAATGCCATAATGTAGTTATTTTATTAGAAACTTCTCCCTATTAGATGAAATCATATTTTTTCAAAGCCATTTTAGCTGTCGCACTAGCTGTTCGGGTAACACTTTATTTGGATAGTCCATCTGTAGATGCTCAGTAATATTTAAACTATCTACTAACCCTGGCCCTAACCCTAGCTTTAAGCCTTATTCTAACCCAAATCTTAACCCTTAACCTAACCTTATCCTTATTCTAAACCAAACCCTAACCTTAACCTTAGTAAGCAGATGCTTATCAACAGATAGTTTGTTGATAGTATGACCATCTGTAGAGCATCTACAGATGGAAAATCTGGACTATCCAAATAAAGTGTGACCGCTGTTCGGTCTGAACAGATTCATAAATCATGGGAATTTATTGTGTATTGTCGTGTCTCCCTCTGAGGCAAGTGTTGCTAAGCAGCCCCCCTGCACTTGTCTGGGCAGGCCTGCTCCCTTTGTGGCTAAAGCCAGTGTGAGAAAAGTGCTAAAAAACGTTTGTGCTATGAAACTAAATAAATACTGCACTCTGACCCACAAAACGTATTTGCTATATTCATGATACTGTTGTTAGACAAAGCAAGTAAAGTGACCTTCAAAACGTGATGCAGTTTTATTGGAATTTGCAGCTGTTGTTGGTAAGTAATGAATCTGCTTGCTCCCTATGGGCTTTAGCTACGTGGGTTAACACAGTCTTGTGACATGCAGGAGACCTGGTTCGACCTAGTCAGTCAAAAGCAAAAGAGCAATATTAAATAGGGAGTGGAAAGGCTATCCTTAGGTATCCTGCATCATATAGGTAAACAGAAAGCACATACATGTTCCAGAGAGTCTTAGCTTTCAGGAATGGGGTCATAATAGCTTATTATCCAAACTGTTCAAACGCTGGACCATATTCATAGGAAGAAAATTCATTCTACATTCCACATTGGCTTCAGAAACCATTGGTACCGCTAGCTTCTGTTTACCACAGACAGCATTTGATTCAATCTGTTCTCCACTACCTTTCCTGGCTGGCAAAGTACCAGGATGTTGTTTTGAAGTTTTGAATCTGAATTTGAAAACTGAATCTGAATGCATCTGAGAAGTTGAATATATGAAACTTTGGTAAACTTAAAATTATAGTTTGTAAACTTGATATACAGACAATGAATGCAATATTTACCATATTGAAACTGAGTACATAAATATTTAATTTGAATATTGAATTCAATTGAAATGTAATTTTAAAAAGGAATGCAATATTCCTTCGATTCAGTTTCAAATCCATGAAATATAAGTTACATTTGTTAATTTAATTATTC